ACTAATAAAAAAATCCGGCCAAAAACTGAATAATGAACTAGAACAACTTCTAGCTATTTAGCTACTTTGAATGCTGCGAAAAACTGCAATACGATTATCCTAAAAACGACTAAATCGGCTCAATTTATACTGAACTTCTACCTCAAAAATCTAAAGTTCAAAAGTCGAAAATTTATATTTTAACGGGACGATGACAGAAGTGTCGGCCCTGAAAATCAAGATAAAATACATGCTGCGCCGAACAGGCTAGCAGAGATTTTTTAGGAAGGAAATCTGGACTTCGCAGTCTAAAGGGACCAGGGGCGTAGCCAGAAAAAAATTTCGGGGGGGGCCCCGAAAAAATGTTTCCAAAAAACTCAAAACATGGCCGAAAAAACAGCGCCGCAGGCAAAAATTTTTGAAAAAAGGTTACAAATTGCCGTAAAAACGTGTAAAAATAGCGCCGCAGGCAGCAAAATTTTTGAGAAAATAAAAATCATAAGGGTCCCCCCTTATGAAATTTTCGGGCCCCGGCCGATTTCGGGGGGCCTGGCCCCGGGGCCTGTATTACGCTACGTCCCTGAAAGGGACAGTGACAGAAGCGTTCGGGACGGAAAACGGCAATGGGCAAGCTAGCAGTAATTTTTGAAGAAAGCTGCTTTACCGTGTAAACCGTGCCACAATCTCTTGCCAACGCCACTTGCGTCCCATTTCATAACCAAATTCCCCGAAAATGCCATGTAAAGAAATGGGCAGTTGCGCGTCATGAGAAAATGTAGCCCGGTGGCGGTTATACAGCACCCGCTATTTTCGCCTTCCCCCTGACTGGCTAGATCCCTCGAGGGGCCCATATACCGACAAAAGGGACACACACGTGCCCTTGGAATGTCGCCCGGAGGAACACGCACCACATGCAACGAACGACGGATGGACACTACACACCACCGTTTGTCCGGGTATTGTTGCGGAATTTTCGATGGCGGCGGCGTGTCCCTCGGGAATCATTACAAGGGTCGACAAATGCCGTCGAAATGGATGGAGAGTGATGTTCGAACACCTAGTTTTTGCTCAAAAATCATATAAAGGGTCCGCCAAGGCAACGGAAGTTGCATCGACACTGGATAACTTTTGCGATAACCAGAGAAAAATATTCGTTCACGCTACGTGTCGCGTCGCGCTCAACTCCGGCTCTAGCTCCGGCACAAGCCTTGTCAGCCTGTCTAACAGGTCGAAGATCAGGAACAGCGATCAAAACTACCTCGAAATAGACATGGAGCGAGAAAGCGAGAGCGAGAATGAGAGAGCGAGAGAGAATGAGCTAGCGAGAGCAGGATATATATAGAGCGCAAGAGAAGGAGAGAGAATGAGAGCGACAGCGAGCAGGAGAGAAAGCGAGCGCGAGAATGAGAATGCGAGTGCGACGATTATAGAGACGGAGCGAATGAAAAGATAGAGCAAGCATGAGAGAGCGGGAGAGAGATGGAAGATGAGAGCGCGATGGAGAGCGACAGAAAGCGGGAGAAAGAGTGGGAGCGAGAGCGAGAGCGAGAGAGAGTGAGAGAGGGTGAGAGTGGGCGGGCGAGTGAAGGATGAAGAAGATAAACGTTAAATTGGCAATACGATGTCCTGCCAATTCCCAACTTTGAGAGTTGCCTTACGAGCATTAAAGAGCATTTTAATTGCTTTGGAGACAATTCTTAGGGGAACTGGTATGATACCTTTGAAAAAGCAACAATTTGTCGATAGTTTTGGGGCACGTGTAATTTTTCTGCAAACACTTCATAATAACATACCAAGATAAACGTTTAGAAGCCCCGACAGTCGGAGCAAAGCACAAATCAACCCCATTGACGCTGCATTGAGCTAACCTTGCAAAACATTATGTAAAATATGCCGTTCCTGGACCAGCGCAACCGATAGGAGCGCGTTGTGTATGTAATGAATATATCCTTTCCAGCTTCCTCACTGCTTCCCTTTTTTAGCCGGAGCCACCGGGCTAAAAAGAACCACCAACAGCAAATTTATTATGCAGCCGCTGGCTATGGGGTGGCTTTCAGGTGGTCCCAATGGGAGGTGAAAAGACCACCAGTTTTTTGATGAAAGATGAATGTTGCGACATGGTGAAAGGCTGCTTTTCAGCGGCAATCTTTGGTCGTGTATTTTCATTAAATTGGAGGTGGGTTGATTAGGCTGAAGCGAAAGAGAGAGAGAGAGAGAGAGAGAGAGAGAGAGAGAGAGAGAACACTGCCCTTGAAGAATTTGCACTTCCCCTGACTATAAAACCAAAAACAGTAGTATTTTGTCTTTTCGAGTCAGCGGGGTCCTCCGAAAATAAAAACGCCAAGAAGCTATTTACATACAAAATTCCGAAAAGGGCACATTCCAACAAGATAGGAAAATACGGGCAAAGTTAGCAGAGGTGCTTCAGGAAGCTGAACACGATAATTGATTAATTTTAGGGGCGGATGATTAGAAACAGATTATTGGAACAGGCAGGCCTTGCAACCTAGCGATTTTCAAGAGTTTAACAAGCAGATATTTTAAGAATAACGCAAATGTCCATTGGGATCCGGTAAAAAAATATTATGACGTGGGCAGGCCAGCAGAGATTTTTGGGAATTTTTCTGTATTCGACTGGATTTCGAAAACGGACATACGGGAAAGGACGTCATTGCGAAGTTGCGATCTGTCGTGTTCGAATCCAGATTTAGCTTCTTTAGACGCTTTTTCGTTAGAGGAAACAGGATTTCTCCGGGGCAATCTAGCAGAAATCCTTCAGGAAAGGCGATTGAAAATACCTGGTTGTTTATGCATCATTTTTCCAGTTGAATTGTCTGATTGAGTAGTTTCCTCGCTCGCAAGTCGCAGTATCTTCAAAACACGCCAGTGAAACCTATTTGCGTTCGAAATCAGGTTTCGGCTGAGCCCTCGAGGGCAAACTAGCTGAAACGTCCAAGACCTGATGAGACACCTTAGTTTTCGAAACCCCAGATTTCGATATGTCATCCACCCATCGGAGCGACTCATCCTATCCCAGCTTCTCCCTCCCTTCCATTGCGTGTCCCAACCCCTTTGATAATTTCAGGTGCGTCAGGGAGATGTGGAAGTCCCGAAAAGGACGTGTCGACCGTTAAGTTTTACGGCCACCACGGGCTGCACAAATATTCCATCGGGGGGTGGAGAAGACGGGCAGAAGGTGACATGGACGTTTTGTTATTTGAACTGGGGCGATGACTCGCCTGCTTGAACTTGGAAGGAAAGTGTCAGCATTTCTTGCCAAACAGGGGCTCCCCGACACTTGCGGCGCGGACACTTGCGGCGCGACACTTGCGCCCGACACTTGCGGCGCAGCATTTATTATTTTTAAATGTTGTAAATTTAGCATTTCTTCACGGATTTTGTTTGTAATTGTTGGATTTGTGTTCAAAATTAGCAATTTAACCGGATCCGGTAGTCGGAACGCCCCTGAGGGCGTCAGGGCAGGTGGGCTGTCGCTTCGGATGGGCTGCCGCTCCACTCTTTCTAAATCGGGGCGCCTGGGCGCTTCGCGCTCCTCGGGCCCCCCGATTTAGAAACCCTGTACGAGCTCGCACCCATCCGAAGCGACTAGGCCCCGGGTGGCACGAAGCCTTTTTCTAGTCGCAGAGCGGAGGAAGTAGCGGCCACTTTCCCTCCAAATTGAGTGACTTCGATCGCAAACCCTACTTTTTATAATTTTTTAATGCCAAATTCGGATGCAGATTATCAAATAACACCTGAAACTATTTTTATATAGCTTATACTAAATAACCGCAAGGTCGCGCCGCAAGTGTCGCGCCGCAAATGTCGCGCCGCAAATGTCGCGCCGCAAGTGTCGGGCGCAAGTGTCGCGCCGCAAGTGTCGCAGCCGCAAGTGTCGCGCCGCAAGTGTCCGCGCCGCAAGTGTCGCGGTACCCAAACAGGGACTTGTGTTTTCGGCGATACTAGTATATTTAAGGATCCGACTTTCATGTGGTCTCTGTATCAAATTCGCCTACAAATCCATAATCTCTCAATCTCATTTTGTTGTTAAATTTGTATTTTAAACACCATTTTTGAAAAATCGGGTAATTTGCCATTTTTAGCAACTCTGATAGATTTTTACGCTTTGTTTGATTTGTATTTGAAGCTTTATAAAGGGCCAACCTTTTTTTACGCAAAATTTAGGCTAAAAAGGTTGCAGTCTCTTCAATTCTTTTTCTTAAAATAAATATGTAAAATTTAGGTTCGTCCAGTATGCGGGAATTTTGTTTGGTGCTTTTAATCCTTGCCACAATTGTTGAAGCTGCAGTCATTCAGCATAAAATTAAATGGCGCCAGTCAGAACGCATGAAAATGGCAAAGTAAGTTGTTGATTACGTTAAAATATTTGAATATCCTTTTTTTAGATCCGGCCAGTGGAAAAGCTTCTCCGAAAGCCGGAAGCTCAACCTTGCAGCACCGAGAGTTTTTGCATCGCACCATCAGGGCGTAAGTTTGAGAGTGAGGTAGCGAGAGGGAGAGATGGAGATTTATGCAAAAACTAGTCAAAAAAGCGTTGATTTTGACGTCGCTGACTTCTCCAAATTCTTAATAACCGTCATTTCCATTACCTTCCAGTTAATGGACTACTACGATCTGGAATATATTGGTGAAGTCACGATAGGGACGCCACCTCAGACGTTTAATGTTGTTCTTGACACAGGATCGGCCAATTTCTGGGTTACGTCCAATATTGCTCCGTAAGTGATAGATACGAGAGAGAGAGGGAGAGGGAGATAGAGAGAACGTCTGAAAGAGAGCTACAGAGAGAACGAGAGAGAGATAGAGAGAAAGGGTGGGAGAGAGAGAGGTCAGGCGTAAAGATACCTATACTTAAGCATTAATCTAATTTCCATTTCAGGAGCGGCCGAATTCCAAATACCTACAATTCCAATGCCTCATCGTCCTATGTAGCCGATCCGAAAGCCTGGGAAATCGAGTACGGCAAAGGGAAATGCAGTGGTATCCAGGCACGCGATACCATGGCTTTCGGCACCGGAAAGGATGGTAGGTCATTTTAGTTTATTTACCTTTGTTTTTATTTTTTTGGCTTATATTTCCGAGTTCCTTACTATTATCGCTATACTTTAATTACATATTTTAGAACTGCGAGTACCGAACACGACGTTCGGGATGGCCACGTATCTCTCTGCTGACATGACAAGTCAAGCGGTACCTAAATTCAACGTATTTGTAGTTTTGAGTTTAGAACTTTGACGGTATCCTCGGGCTTGGCTTCCAATCACTTGCTGTTAATAATATTCTACCGCCACTGATGAACGCGCACGCTCAAGGTAAGGTCGAAGGTCAGGGTCCAAACTAGCTTTGTTTTTCCCGTCTACACCAGCCGCACTTTTTGCGTCGAAAAACTGTGTAAAATCGTATAACAATTGTTTATATTTTGTCATAGGGCCGCACAGGATTCCAGGTAAAAATTAGGGGTTTTCCCCACCTAACCCCCCCCCCTGCTAGCAGACCAGTACCGTTATACGATAACGCTTCTTCCGATTTAATTTTCAATTTTCAGGGCTCCTCGACGACCCGGTATTCACGGTGGTTCTTGGACACCGTAACAACGACGCGGGCCCTGCCGGGCAGATCACCTACGGAGCCATCGACACTGAGTCGTGCACTTCCAACTTTTCCTGGGTCCCACTGAGTCGTGCTGCTTACTGGCAATTTACGGTTAGTTTTAAATTTCGACTATATGTATGTCGGCATTTTGCAAGTAACCCCTCCCTTCTAGGTGTCGAAAGCCAGTTTCGGTTCGTTCAGCGGCGGTCCCTACGAGGTCATCACCGATACGGGCACCTCGTTCATCGGCGGTCCCGTCGATGCCATTACCGCTATTGTAAAAGCCCTCGGGGCTAATGTAAGTGGCTTTAAAACGAACAGGATGCTTCGGCTTCATTTAAGTATGACGACCAATATGATATGTATATGACCAGCTGTAGCGGCGATTTTCCGGATTTAGAACTGACGATTGGTGGCAAGGTGTACAGCGTGACGCCGGTAGGTTAAGGATCCGTGCTATGATCAAAATAATCAAATTTATTAATAAATAATTGTTATCAATTTTATTTAATTAATTAATTTAACTTACACTATTTTAGAAAAACTATCTGCTAAACGATTTTGATGGCACGACCTGCGCGGCCGCCTTTTTTGCCTTTTCAGAGTGACAGTCCAAGTAAGCTTTTAAGCAAAGCGGCTTTTTTTGCTTTTCTAAGATTTTTTAAACGGCAAACATGCTGAGAAAACTATAAACAATATAATTACCAATATATGATGGTTTCAATAATTTATAAAACAATTTAGACGCCCCAAAATGGATCCTCGGCGACCCGTTCATCCGCCAATTCTGTCACATCCACGATTTCGGAAACAACCGGCTCGGGCTGCCCACTCAAAAGAAAAAATCCGCCTCAAACTACTATTTTTTGACGGGTCTTATTGGTGCGATTATTATGAAATTGTTTTGAATGATAAAGAGATATTTTTCTCACCCCTGCTAAGCTACAACCGCAGCAACTAGCCTATAAATAATGCAAAAAATGCGAAACACCATATCTACTTAATTTCGACAAGAGCCATAAATCCGATAGCAAAAATATCGACAGCCTTAATCACGACAGACAAAAATGTCTACAGCCAAAATGCCGACGGCGACAAAATGCCGACTGCCAAGATTCTGGAAGCTAAATTCATGACCACGAGAATCTCGACAATAAAAATGCCGACATTCTAAAGGCCCGACAATGAAAATCCCGACAATGAAAATGACGACAGTCCAAAAAGTCGACAGCCAAAGTGCCGACAACGAAAATCCCGATAGGCCAAAATATCGGCAGCCAAAATCCCGAAAGCCGAAATTCCGCACGCATGTTCTGGACGCCAGTTTGAACGCGCTCTTTTTTTAAACAGTGGCTTTGCAGGTCGCGGTTCGGGCTGTCGGGATTTTGGCTGTTGGCCTTTGGGTTGTCGGGATTCTGGGACTTTCCAAAAAAATTATTAGTTTTGTTTTTCAGCGACATTTCCACCACGCCTTTCCCTTAACAAAAAATTCCGCAGCCGACATCAGCTTTAAGGCTAGCAACGTGGCACCCGTTTTTGCCGATAACAATGCGGCTGTCGAAAGTCACCGATAACAGACAAAAATGGCAGTCTAACCGGCTTTTGGCAAGGGTATGACGCCGTAAAGGCTATTAAATGCCTGTTTTTTTAAAGATTGGACGTGACTGGTATATTTATTAACAATTCGAACCGGAATTCAAGAACCAACACAACATGATAGCAAAGTTTCGAAAGGGAATTCGGAAATCGACCAAGTTGGAGAGATTTACTTACTGTACGAAAGAGGACTCGTGGGATATCTGAATTTGGGCACGTCCAAAAATCAGGGTGCTTTCGGGAATTTCGAAGGCTGGTTTCCGGAATGGGATTTCGGAAAGGCATTTCGGAAAGGGATTTTCGGAAATGTTATTACATGTAATTCGCTTTCTCTTCGCCTGTAAGCCCTGCCGTATGCGCGTGATACAGTGAGGTCGAGCAGGCGATTTTTGAGGGAGTTGGCGCGAAGAGCCTGAGGGTCGTTTCCTGAGCCTTTTATACTAACCCTGTGGGCGGAACTTATTCTTCTCGAAAAGGCGTCTAATTTCGGAATTCCATCTCGGAATTAATTTCGTAATTGGCAGACTACGGTCGTGGGCCTTCACCCTTGGTTTATCGATTTTTCTCGCTTTCCCCATGATGGGGTCGGTTCCGACAGTAGCCTATCTCGGAATGGTCTTTCGGAAAAGGGCATCGGAAAGGTTCACACGTGGCCGCGGTTGGGTAACGGTAATCTTATATCCGATTTGAGTGTATGTGATTTACCGTAGGCCGAGGGGTCCACAACGCCGATGGCACCTTCGAAACTTTAGTTAGCTTAGATTATTTCTAGTATTACATTATAAATTACACCTGTTCTGAATGGTCAACAGTAACGGGATTCCCATGACAGTTGTATAATGTACCTGTGAAGCCCCAAATGCAATTTGTCAATCTTCTTAAATAGGCGTTGCGTCACTGGAATATAGTTTATTAGACAATAAGATTAAAGGCTTAATGAATATAACAATGAATAATTCACGAGGGGGAGTGTTATTATCCAGGAATAGATTTTCCAACTGGTAAAATGCGATTTCTCTTCACTCACAAATCGCTCCGTACCGTAGCCTAGTCTGGGCCACGGAAGCAGGGAGCTCGGCTGTGAGCGTGAGTATTTTCAGAGAGTGCCTGTGGCGCCCTAACGGCCGAAATGTGTCGGTGTTCTAGATCGGGCGTCACGGGTATATTTATTTAACAGTTGCAAGCGATAATTCAAAGCATAATATAAATTGATGTTAAAGTAAATCGGGAGTTTTCGGAAATCGAACAAGAGCGAGATTTTCGGGAGAAATATGAAGACTTTCGAATGTACGAATGTTTTTTCGGGATTCCCTTTCAAATTTGGAACGAGTTTTAATTCCGGAAATGAGAGCTTTGAATTTCGGAAAAAGTATTGATTTTGGAAAGAAGGAGCCTTTGATTTCGGAAAGATGTTTGTATATTCGCTGCCACTTCGCTTGCGGCCCTACTGTAAGTTGGTTACAGTGAGCTGTTTGACGCGATCGGTGAGTGATTTTAGCGAAGAGAAGTGAGGCGCACTTCGAGCGTTCTTATAGCCGCCCCATTAGGGCGTGGTTAGATGATCTCGAAAATGCTCCCTATGAGGCTTGAATTCCGGAATTCCCTGTCGAGTTCCGGAAAGAATTTCGGAAAACCGGGACTACCGTGGGGGTTTGTTTATACCTTAGTTCTCGCTTTTTCCCATGATGGAGTCGTTCCGACAGTGCCCAAAAGAGCGCCTGGGATACTTTTTATACTAGCCCTTTTACGGGAGGAGCTGATAGTTTCGAACCAGCGCTCGCGAGGTCCTAGTCAAGCCGAATTCCAGAATTCCACCAGGAATTTCCGGAATTCATCTAGAAATTGCCGAGGGCTACGGCTGGCTCGGCTTGCCATTTGTTCATATTAACCAATGTGTGATCGAAAGGTTTCGCCCCAGGTGACCACGTCACAGCCTCGCTTTACCCTGAAAAGCGTCCGTTCCGACAGGGGGTGGCACCCACAAAGCTCTGCGTCGGTGTTCTTAATGAATGCTTGGGCCTCACTGGGGCATATTTTATTATAGGAGAAAGCAAATGTCTTAATTATTACAATAGTCTATATTTCACGGAGAAATAAAAAAATAATATTAAATAAATTACGGAATGTTATTATCCAGGGATGGACCTTCTAAATGCTGGTAAAATGCGATCTTCACGCACAAACGCGCAGTACTGTAGCCAAGTCCGGGCCACCGAAGCAGGGAGCACGAAAGGCTGTGAGCGTGAGTTGTGGCGCCCACGGAGCTTACAGTCGGTGTTCTTCTTCAGTAGGTAGAGGTCTGGGCGTCACTGGGGTATATTTTATTGTACGAGAAGGTAGATGATTCAATTATTACAATAGTCTATATTTCACGGGGGGTGGTTATCCAGGAATGGAATTTACGGATAATAAATTGCAATTCTTCTGAATGTTCACAGATCACGCAAAGGTCTGGATAGTCTGGGCCACCTAGTCTGGCCCACGACAGCAGGGGAGCACGATGGGCTGTGAAGTTTTTTCAGAGAGTGAGTCAGTGGGGGCCGGGCAGGCTTTTTTATAGTGGGCCCATACGGGCTCCGCCCAGCGCTTATTTTCGAAACCCTGATGGGCTTTCGAAATAGGGCCCCGCTGGTCCTGCGTAGCTGCTCGCACCTACGCATTCCATTTCTGAATAATGGTCGGATCTCAGTTCCGACATGCGTGTTTGCAGAGAGTGTCCAAAAGAATGCCTGGGGCCCTTTTATACTAGCCCTTTTTTGGGCGGAGCTGGATAGTTTCGAAAAGGGAAAGGTTTCGGAAAGCTGTTCGTATATTTGCTGTCACTTTCGCTTGCAGCCCTACTGCAAGCTGGTTGCCAGCGAGCTGATTCAAGCGATCGTGCGTGGTTTAGCGACGTACTAGAGGAGCTCCTCGAGGCTCTTTTATAGCAGCGCCTTTTTTTGGGCGTGGCTGGATAGCTTCGCAAAAGCTCTCGCGGTCCCTATGAAGCCGAATTCCGGAATTCCACAGGGAATTTCGGAATGAATTTCCGAATGATTGGGGACTACCGTTCGGTCTGCGTTGGCTCTTTGTTTATACTCTAGCTCTGGCTTTTCCCTTGATGCGGTCGT